AAATCACATTTTTTTCCCACATCCTGTAATTGTAGGGTTGATTTCATGCATTCAGATGTATATTTGACTTTTTCTCCTGTTTTTTTTATTATTATTATTCATCTCCTTTAATTCAGTCTATCATAGACTTATCATCCTAGCATCCTTTGGGAATCTTGATTTTCTCTTCCAGTCATGCATGAAACCTGAGGACATGATCATTGCAAGAAAAGAGAATTCATGGAAAATGCTAGGTATAGTACTTGGCACATAATAAGCCCTTAATAAACATTAACAATTGTGGTGGTTGTTATTATTTCAGTACTCAGCACAGAGTCTGAACCAGAGTAGACCTTTAATAAATACTTACTGATTAGTGAATGAATGAACCAATCAATAAATCAAAGATTGATAGAATGAATACATCTCAAGCCCAGTAAACTCGATATTATTATCCCTCTTCTGCAGACAGGGAGACTGAGGCTCAGAGGGGTTAAATAACTGAGCCCAAAGTCACTCAGCTGGAAAGTGGTGGAACCAAGACTGGAACCTAGTTCCAACTGACTTCCAGGCATATGTGACTAATCCTCCTCTACTCTGCTTTCTCATATCTATATTCAGATTAGATATAACAACTAAGTTGTGGAGTCAGAGTGAAGGCTGAGAGGCTTCCCAAGGTTCTGTATCCCAAGCCTTAGAAAAGCGGATTCTCCTGCTTATGGCCCTGGAACACGGGATTGTGGAAGAGACCAAGAGATGGCATCATAGCACTGGGAGCCCCACCTCTTGCCTTTCCTATGGGCCTCCCATTTTCTCTGCCTTCAGCTCTCTGCTTAGCTGTTTCTCCCAAGGAACTAACAAGGATCCTTGTCTTAAACGTGTCCCCAAGGGAATACATTTAAGACAAGGATCCAAACCCCAGGTGAGTAATTCCACTGCTTGCCAGGACTGGGGTCAGTGGAGTCTGGGGCCCAGAAAAGAAGCAAAAATGGTATAAAGAACACTGAGACCTGTAGGAGACCTATAGTTACCTCGCTGGCTGTCAATTTCCTTTTCTGTCAAAATGGGGTAAGGGGGTGATATTCCTTACCCTGTCCACTTCATGGGACTGTTTGAGGCACATTAATAACAACAGCTAACATTACTGAGTGCCACCTCTGTGCCAGGTACTGTGTTGAGTGTCTTTCATATCCTCACAGTTAGTCCTATGAAATAGGTAGACTGTTTACCTCTTCCCCACATTTTTCCCCCCTGCAAATGAGGAAACCAAGATTCATGGAATTAAGTTCCTTGCCCAAGTGCTCTAACTCTAAGTGACAGATCTGAAATTTGAAACTGGCTGCCTTTGAGCCCTTCAGTGCTGCAAGACAACGGCCCGGAGAATGTTTGTGAACTCTAAGGAATGATATAAGCCTTATACCTTTTTTGTACAAGAATGTACTGTATAAATATGCAGCTTGTTAAGATTGAGCATGGAAGAGGGTGCCTGGTGGAGATAATTTTCCAAGGAGGCATTTGAATAGATCAGATGGTGAGGATGGAAGGGCTGTTCCTACCCACCTTACAATTTTCTGGTTGGGAAAAGGGGGACAGTACACAGTCTGAGTGGCTCGTTTGTGAAAGAGAGTCCTAGGGCAGGTTGAGATGGGAGAGGAAGTTCCTTGTGTATCAAGCCAGAGCCACAACAGTCAGTTCAACACCCAGACCTTTAGCAGAAGAGCACTGTGGCTGAGGTGATACGAAACTCTTTGACGGCGCAAAGGCAAGGAGCAGCTCCAGTTCTGTCAGACTTTCCAGGAAACTAGGGACACGCAGCCCAGAAAACAAATGTGTGCAGGAGCCAGCCCCACCTGTGACCCCTTCGTCCCCTGCCTCTCTACCCTTGGGGTTTCAGCCACCCAGTTTCTACACTGCTCACTCTGTATGTACAGCCCGCTGCCTGGCTTCCCTGGCACCTCCCTTCCAGGCTCATTCTCTCTCCCACACACCAGAACTCTGTCTGCCGTGGCAGCTTCTTTGTTTACTTCCAGAGTTTGCAGGCCTGCCACTAGCCAAACACAACGAAGCCCAGCCAGGGAGGGCGAGGCTCCAAGCTCAGGCTGCCCCCTGCACAGGGCTCTTGCTTTAGGTCCTGACAACCCAGGTTTCAGGTCTAGAGAGAAGGGACACAAGATCTGCCCATAGCTGGGCAGGAATCCCCACTGTTGAAACAGCTTTGGCGAAGAGCCCTGGGAATCAAAGGCTCAGCTGGAGAGAGGTAGGGAAAATGTTGAGGCCCCCTGGGTGGGAAACAGAGGCCTGGTTCTCCCTCTCTTCAACCAGGCAGATTCTGGTCCTGAGCCCTTAGAGCGAGGACTTGGGTGCCCACGCTGCCCTACCAGAGGGCTGTGCTCCCCTCCCAAGTGTTCATATGTCTCACGCCCCTCCCCAAAGATTCTAGTGGAGAAAGGGAAGTGGGCTTCTAGTCTGGGCAAAGCCCCAAGTAGGAAACATTGTCAGGATGTGTCTGGCATTGGACTGTCTGAGGTTAGGAGGGAGGTCATTTATCTAATATGTAATTATGTGTTTATATCATGCATAATGTTAAGGGGAGGGGCTCTAGCTCTGTTTCTGGAGATGGGGTGAAGAGGTCAGAGGTGATAGGTGAGCAGTGCATGTACTAAAGGTGCCAAGCAGGAGGGTGGCAGGGCCACAGACAAGTTCACGTGAGGAACAGTGATCAGTGTCAAAAAGGAGATGTCTCAGTGGGAGAGGAGGGATCTCTAGCAGCCCAGGTTCCCCAGAGAAAACTAGAGGCCCCTTTAAATGGTGGTCAGTTCATTCTGTGAGTATGTCGGGGCAGGGGGAAGGGGGAGCGGGCAACAGATACTAGTGATGTTTAAAGGAAATGAAATCCCCAATTTTCCTCACATTTAAGGAATTTCCCTCACATTTAGGGATCCATTTTAGAGACAATCAGTTTGACTAAGAAGTGCCGGAAAGAAAACCTAACTCTGTTGGCAGGCCACCGCAGAGCAGATAGAGCCCCAGACCAACGGGCCGTTGGAAGGAACAGAAATGGGGTTAGAGGTAGCACTGGCCCCGCTCAGCCTGTACTCTCTGCCCCATTCTGCTTCAGTTTCCAGGACTGGAAGCAAGGACTGGGCCCTGGACACCGGGTGTATACATGCGGCAACCCATCTCCCCGCCCAGTCATTCTTTGAGGGGTCATTGGGACCCCTGGAGTAAATAAGAAGTTTGCCACAGCTTTAGGCACAGCTTTGCTTTTTATCTCATCAATGTACATTTTAATCTAACAGTCTAACAGCCCCACATTCCTCACCCCTGCCCAAGCCCTCTCCCCCTCTCCCCCGCCCCTGCCCAGTCAGCATCGCATCTGCATCAGGGGCAGAAAGTCACCAGGCACCATGTGATTCCAGGAGGGTGCAGCACCCGCGGCTGTCCCAAGAGGAGCATTCCCTGGAGAGTCCAGAGTCCAAGGAGGCCCAGGAAAGGAGAGGTTCGTGGGTTGAGTCTCATTGGAAAACCAGGTCTGCTGGGTCTCAGTCCCATTCAGATTCTGTCTCCCTGGGCATGTCCCTGCCCCATCTCCAGTCAGAGCAGCAGAAGAGCAGAAATCCCAGACAGAGGGGCCTGTGGATCGAAAGGGGCCTGTAGCCCAAGTCCCACTCTGAGGGTGGGCGAGGCTGTTGGAATCCCCTTTCAGGCAGGCTGTACAGATGCTCCTGGCTGCAGCTTCCTGACTGCTCTGTGACCCCACAAGTGCGAGGAGGGGCTCTTGTGACCAGCATCTTGGGGTTGTGCCACCAAGGAAGACAGAGGGCCAGTGCTGCTACCTGCAACCGCAAGACTCCACCACCATGTCCTCATACTGCTTATAGACCACGTTGTTGGCAGAGTCGATGAAGAGGATGCTGATGGGACTCAGCCGCGTGGGCACACAGCAGGTAGGTGGCGTGGACTCGGGGTCCATAGAGTTCATCAGGGTCTGGATGACTGCATGGTTCGTGGGCTCCAGGTGGGAGCGCAAGGGGAACTCACATAGCCCCTCACAGTGGAAGGCCTCATACTCAAGGGGTGCGATGATCCAGTCATCCCAGCCCATGTCCTTGAAATTGACATGCAGCGCCTTCCGACTGCAGCGGGCCTTGGGGTTCTTGCTGGGCCGCTTGCCCTGGCGTGTGGCCAGCGGAGCCCTCCGTTTTCGCCGCTGGCTGAACAGGTACTCATACACGGTCTTATCATCCTGGCCGGAGCGGGCCTTAATCTCATTAAAGAACAGATCCCGTTTCTTGGTGCGGCCGAACACCAGGAACAGGGCCTTCTCGTGAACCTGACGGGCAGCCCGGTCAAAGCCCAGGCCACGGAGGTCCACAGCCCGGCCCCGTTCCCAGGCCTCCAGCTCCAGGCACAGCTGGGCCGTTCTTAAAA